GTGTCTGAGGCGAAAAGTTCAGCATTTTCAACTTCTTGACGCTGACACCTTGGATGCGCGTCTAGACTGTTGACGCCAAAACACAGATTTGCGCCATGCTGACGCCCAAAGATGCGCCGCAAAAACGCAGGACGCTCTAGTCGCGTGTCCACATAGACTTTACATAGAAACTGGACTCTTTGACACTTTGGTGTGAACAGCCCTTAAGTCACCCTGGGCAAAAGGCCACACTGGACTGTCTCTGAAAGAAAAAGCTCTAACTTGAATGTCCAGAAGTAACTTTGAATCGCAAACTGTTTCAAATGAATTTTGAATCTGTTTTTAGAGAATTTTAGAGAATTCCTTCCATACACCAAAATTGTTCGTAATTGTCCGTGTCCATTGTCTTAGTCTAATCCTTTTGTCTTTTTAGCCCCCGTTACTACTTGGAAGATTCTATACCGCCCCCAATATGTCATCATCATCTCTTTACTCACCTCTCCTTCACTGTCTATAATTTTGAGTTAAACGCCATCCGCTCCTCCTGTCCTTTGGAGGGGCTCAAGGTGGCTAGGAACTTCCAATACTCCGCTGACTTCGCCGCTAATGGGCCCCTCCATCATCGGCACCTGTGCGCGCGTGTGGCTAACGCTAGGCTATTCACACCGCTACTCCCCGGGCCCCAGCTTTCATTACTCAGGACTCCATAAGCAAACAGCGCAGTCTCTTGTATAATAGCCGCCCGTTAGCTAATAGACAATGGGATGGGCTGTTTGCATTGCAGCTATAGAGTGCTAGCACACACTTCTAAGAGCAGTGACCTAGCTAGCGCCGCCAGCTCCGTATTCCCTAATGGATCCTTATTACATGTATTCAAGGACAGCAGCTCCATCAAGTCAAGAACTCTTCTCACTATGCTACAAAAAAAGTGGTTAGCATAACTTTCTTACCTCAACTAGAACAGCAACATACTATTATTTTTTTATACATTTATTTGGGAATAGTTTTTTGCATTTTTCATTTTGTATTTTCATTTATTCATTTATTAATAATATTCTTATTCATATTATTATTATTATTATTATTATTATTATTATTATTATTATATTATTATTATATTATTATTAGTATATTATTATTAGTAGTAGTAGTAGTAGTAACTAGTAGTAGTAGTAGTAGTAGTAGTAGTAGTACTACTACTACTACTTCTCCACAATTATTACAAATCACCAAAGGTCCACAGGTCATACTAATCCTGTGCAAATAAGGCTTTTGTGACATAAGTCTGTGAGAAGTGCTATATAAATAAAAACGTACTTACATATTTACTTACTACTTAATCATTACTTAATATTTACTTACTGTTCAAACCCTCCTTACGGTTAGCCCACAAGCTTACATCGCCCATGCTCCCACACCACAATTCTCCAAATATAAAAAAACTTGATGCAAAACTGTACACAGTAACCAGACAAACCTGACGCGATGTGCAGTAGTTTTATTAGCTGAGCTGCACACTGAAGGGAGAGTGACTCAGGGAGGGAGGACTCAGAGCGTCAGAAGCGAAAGTGAAACTTATAAAACACATTAACATTTTGTCTTTTTTTATGCTGACCTGTTTTGTTGGAAATACTGTGACTATGGATCTAAGATTGATTGTGTTCCCTGTAACATCCATCCCTCTTACTTTCCAAATTAACTTTTTTTTTTTTCTGAAATTCAAATTTTAAACGTTATCTAAATGAGTTATGTTTCGAACAGACTACCAAATATTCCAACAACAAATTACATTTAAAAAAGATTTGTGATTTGTTTAGCTTCTAGGATCAAGACCAACAACGCCCACAAGAGGCAAGAAGAGAAATCACTGTAAAAATGAAAGACTTGGAACATGTATTTACCCCAATGAGGTTCATCTGGTCTTCTGATAATTTATGTTATTATAGGGTGACCATATTTCCATTTGTGAAAACCCAGACACCTTACTGGGGGTGGGATGTTGGGGCCTCGACATTGAGCTACTCTCACCTCGCAACCTGTGCACATGGCCTCCCACTTGTCTCGACTGGAACGGAAAACAGAGAATTTCTTGTACAAGTCATTGTTAAATGCGCATTTGTGCTTCGGCATGTTGCAGACTGACCGACTGTTAGAAGGAGCGAGCAGACACAGAGTCACAGAGAGCTACGAGAGCCGCTCAATTTAATGGCCCCAATCAAAGGAAATGAAAACCCGGACATTTCCATCACTTTAAGAAAATAAACCCGGATGCCCACGACATAATGCAAAAAAGGTTAGGTTCTTTTTACAGACCAAGAGTTGACAGTTTCAACTACTCCCTGCGGTCTTCCTCAGAGTGTTCAAGTGATGTTCAGCTGATTTATAGGCGAGTTTCATTGTTGACAAAAGCGTGCGTTGCATGCTGGGAATTATTTTGGTCGGTGGCAATAAACACTAATTCAACATGAAGGACAGAGCGAGAAAGCACGTAAAGGGTATTGATCCCGGTTATTTAACCACTCTAACGGCAGTCAGACGATTTGACCAGAAATTGGTCATAAGCATCGACGGACGCCAAATCACCCTTTTCAACCCCAAAAAGGTGGACCAAACCAAATTTCTGGTCAGAATCACCAACTACCTGGACAAATATTCACTTGGGTGATATCCACAATGACTTGGTGGAAACTCCTGGGCCATTCACAGCAGAAAAGATGAAAACCTCCAAGAGTCTCGATGTGTTGTTGAACTTGTTGGAGTCCACGGTTTGCTAAGATCTTCTACGTTTGCTCTGCGAATGTTTGAAAGCCGTTTAATTCACCATTAGTGGTTCTTTTCACTCAGAATACGAAAAAGACATTTTCCTTCTTCCGTGCTTCTATTTGTGCATCCGATAATGCAGCAGGAATTTACCATTATCGGGGATAAATACGCGAGGTTACGCACTGTGTTTGACCGCTATCGTGTTTCTTGCCTCCGACCAAAATATTTCCCAGCATGCAACACGGGCTTTTAATAACAATGACGTCAGCTGAAACTCGCCTATACGGGTTTGGCGTTGTCTTCCTACCAAAGGCGACAGTGCCATCTTCAGTCCGACTTCCTCAGGACAGTATCTCAGGTGTGAGAGGACTCGGAGTCTAAACCGTCAAGTATGAAAACAAACTCTTGGTCTGAAAAAATAACCTAATAACATAATGTATTTATCTCCAAACTAGTAGAATCCAAGTCCTTATTTCAACTATATCTTCCCTCTTGTGCGATCAATCATGAAAAAGAAGTCATTGTTTAAACTACACCATTTGACTTTGCCATACAAAGTTAGTCATTCCGCTCGCATTCTCTTATCTAATCGGATTTGCTCCCCGTACTTGAAAAGAACCACAGATAATGCCTCACTTTGAAGACTTCGTGAGCATGAGAAGAGAGAAAGAGGAGTGGGGGGGGTATCTGATCAGAAAGTCCTCACGAGTAGGTGGGTGGACCTCTCCCCAGACGCTCCCTCCGTTTCCCTCCTCTCCGTTGCGTTCACTGTAATTGCCGCTGTAGCGAGCAGTTGGCGGAGTACGCGGCCTAGGTGAGATAGCCGGCGGCGCGCTTGCACAGGATCGCGCGCGTTCGGCCTTTAGCTGGCGGTGTCATGTTTTGTTTTTTTCTTGCGGGGCTTTCTGTTCTTTTGTGGAGGTTGAGGGGGTGAGATCGCAGGAGGGTCCCAAAAGGGTTTACCTCTCTCAGACAGCTGCGCGGGTTAAGGCTAGCGTTGACTTAGCTTCAGGTGATAAAGCAACTGATGTAAAAAAAAGTGCCTCCAACTTCAGTTTTTTGGCAGAGAGACCAGAAATATTTGGTGAACTTCTGACCTGGTTGTGTTACGTAAGATAGATTCTACTTTGATAACAATGAAGTGCAGTGTTTGATGATTTGATAAACAAAATAACGTTAAATTGATAGTGAGGTATTCTTAAAGTGGCACTATTTGAGTTTTTAGGTTTTTAGAGGATCTGAAATCTTCTTGACTTAAAACTTATCAATCTCCATTTTTAAAAATTATTTCTTTATTTATTTTGCTATAAAAATAAATAAATAAAAATATAAAAAAATAAATACATAAAAAATAAAATAATAAAATAAATAACATAATACAAATAATAAAATAAATAAATAAATGATAGATAGGCTATGAAACATTCTAGGCAAAAAAAAACATTTTGTGAGAGAACACCAGAAAAAAGGTCCTGCATTTTGATTTTGATTTTTGAGTTTTGGAACTGAAAAGACACCTGGAGTTGCAGTAGCGGTTAACAGTTTACAACGAAAAAGCTCATTTTGTGAATGGTAAAAAGTCCTCAAAATGGCGCCCGTAATAGGAAAGTACACCCCATTAATTATAGTAACAAATTTTTACTGTCCCCATTTTTCTAATACATTCCTAGCAGCCTATCTATTCAGAGTTTATGAGCTCCTTTCACAACTTTCAGAGGCCAGACTGGAGTTTTGCTTTCACTGTAACAACTAGCATGCTAACTGCGCACTTCCTGATTCACAAATAATAAAAGCGCTTCCTAATTAGACACAGACAGCACTGATTTTGACCCTGATTGCTGAGATAGGGAAAGAAAAAGATGCACTAAGTAACTTTATATTTGAGGGTCCATCACCTGCTTGTTTCGAGATGTGATTGCTCTGCTTGAAATGTTCCACAGTGTGACATTAAACAGCTCTACCTTACATTTATACAATTACAGATGGTTTTATAGCTCAAAAATACCTAGAAAAATAGACATTCTGACTGTGAGCAGGGTCGCCGCTCCACAGATCTAACCTGTAACTTAGTCTGGTTTGGTCTCCATGAAGATAGAAAAGTTTAATACCATACTGTGAAATATTCCAGAAAAAGCAACAACATCTCCATGTAAAAAAGCATTTGACAGACCCTCTACCAGAAAAGTTACATAATGCACCTTTACGAAGAGGAACCAACAGACATTATATATTCTAAATAATATGTCTTTTTTCTATAGAACCAGTTTGGCTACAGAGACGGCGGCCCCAACCCCACAGAGGGCTCATCGTCTGGGGCCCAGGCCGGCGCGACCCAGGAGGCCTCTGGGGGTTCAGCCCTGGAGGACCAGCGCTGTAACGGAAGCCTGCACAAGAAGAACAAGAGCCAGGGGACGGGAGAGGACAGCGGGGGACACAGGTACAGCCAGGGCACCTCAGAGGACAGCGGGGGACATCGATACAGCGCGGACCCCACCATCTTCCTGGGCGAGAGGACGTCCAGAGGAGACACGGACGAAGACGGATACATGACGCCGATGAAGGACAAGAGCTCCTCAGGTAAACACAACAGATAAGGAACTGTCAAAAGCATCAAAAATCATACTAATTTAGGGATCTCCAACCTTTTGTGTCCAGTGAGCCTTTACAAATGAAAATACCGGAGAGTTACTAATTTTAGCGGTCGCAAGACATAGAGTATATATAAGAGGACAAGCCTTGGATGTTTTACTGTTAGATACCTATAAAACATAAACCATTATCCATTTATTAGTGCACAAAGTTCAAAATAACACATTTACAACAGTAATTAATCAAATTTGAGTTACGCAGTACAATATGTACTAAAAAAATACTAAAAAAAGACCTTTGGTGAACAGAACTAGTGTAAAACTGCATGGTGTACTAAAAATACTATGGTTTTGTGTTGAAAATTACAATATTGTCATTGTATTTTAAAAGATCTTTTAAACTTATTATTTGGGTATCAAAATCTGTATCGAGTATCGAGTCAAATCTTGAGTATCAAAATAGAGTTTGAAATAAGGGTACTGTGACAACATTACAACAAATAGTACAGAAACTGTTTCGTGAATGCGTACGATTTGATGATTGTGGTGAAATACACTACCAATTAAAGTTCTCAATGTTTTTCTTGATTTTCATGACTATTTACATTATAGTTTTTAGAAACAAAAATTACACTTCATATTTTAGTCTGTTCAAAATAGCTACCCTTTGCTTTGATCACTACTTTGCATGAAATCAGTGAGAGGAGGCCAAGTGTTTGTAGAGAATCTAAGGCTACGTTCAGACTGCAGGGCTTAATGCTCAATTCGGATTTTTTTGTGAAATCCGATGTTTTTGCGAGGTCGTTCACATTTCCAATTAAATGCAACTTGTATGTGACTCCAGTGTGAACGTTAAACAGCCCAAAAGTGTCCCGCATGTGCACTGGAGACACGATGATGTCAACCGTAGCGAGCGTGCTCTGTGTTTACGGAAGTTGTCCAAACATGGACGCAGCATTGAGCACCTGGAGATTTTAAAGTTCCTCTCGTACCGGAGCCAGAACATGAACAACTTACTTGTTTTAAGGAGGAAATTGAGAAGGAGAAGGACGAGGTTTTTGGTCGTGGTGTTTTGTGGGGCAGCGGCAGCAACGTCCGTTGAAAGGAACGTGTGGATGCAGAGACGTAGCCAAGAGCGCTTTGCTTCAGTGACACGGAGTTCATTAACAATTTTCGCCTACTTCTGTTGATAACGTGTAGGTCGGATGAATGCGCTTTGGCCGTTCAGACTGAAGTCGCATGTCGAAAGATCCGATATGTATCGGTTTTAGGACCACATATCCAAGTGTCCTGGGTCGCATTTGAAAAAATTGGATCTGTGTGGTTCAGACTGTCATTAAAAGATCAGATACAGGTCACATAGGATGCAGTCTGAACGCAGCCTAAAATATAAAACATAATACAAATGTATTACAAACAAGCTTCAGAGGATTCTCTTTAAAATAAATTCCGAACAGTGCTTGTCAAGGACAGGGCTCAAAAGCTATATCAGAAAGTGAAAACTCCTATGCTTGTATTTTTAGGTACTGTACATTATACTGTGTGCCTGATTGAGACGATCCATAACATATCATTTCTGAATTTGTGAACCTGAAACGTCCACCAATGACATTTCAATTACAGTGGTCGCCCTTACACATTGTTTACAGAGAGAAAAATAAAATAATGAATTGAAATAGTTCCACGGAATACACCCGTTTTTATATAGATAGAGATTTTCCCAGGCAAATCAATACCCTAACACATGTATTTTCCCGCAACACGACTTGTAATCTTGTATGTTTTTCAAGCAAACCAAGTAGTTCCCCCCTTTGCCATCTCCACTCCATCAAAGACAACCTTCCTTCAGATGTCTGAGCTCCCTCTCCCTCATCTCCCATCATTCACAGTAAACACTCTTTTGTACTATGTTTTACCTTTTTTTTCATTGATTACCGTCCCCAGTTGACGTAGCGGCGTGTATGCTAGCCTCACCACCGAGTCATGCATCCTCTTTGATCATAATTCCGTCCGTCAACCCCGCGCGCGCTTCACAGTCTTTGATTTTCCTCGCGCAATTCCAAATATAACCCTTCTCGGAGCAAACCACACATCTGATGCAAAGTCAAGGAGCAACAAGAGTGGGTGAAATCAATAGTTTTTGGCACCTCAATATTATAGCGCTTGGAAGCTGGTGAAGAGGGGTCATTTGCTGGTAGTTTCACCCCCCGGCGGATGGAGTGTGCCGTGCCAAAAGAGGGTTGGCGCTGTGCCCGTCTGGTCTGGAGAGGATGCTATTATTCCCATTATCATATCCGCCCCTGCTACGCTCTTCTACACTCATTAGACAATCATCTGTTTCTCGTGGTGTTTCAATTTACAAACTCATTTTAAAATTCTGTGAAAGCTAGATCAAGCATTTGGTTCAGTGGTTTGCAAAAATTAAAAGAAAATATGGTAACACTTTATACTGAGAATGTAGCTTCATGCCTTAATAAACATGGACAAATTCGTAATTCATAATGAACACATAGTTTATTAAGAATGACTTAGGCTTTGTAACTACTTAATTATTACTCCTAACCTTAACTTCTTCATCAAATCCCTACTGTGTAACTTTCTGGCAAAAAAATAGCCTAAAACAACAAAAACAAACACTGAAAAAGAGAGGGAAAAAAGCATCCTTACTGTGAGCGAGCTTGCCTTTCCACAAACCTGACTCGTTACTTGTTTACTCTGTACTCTGTTTCCGTGGAAATGCTGGTCCTTTGCCTGTAATCATCTAGTCAGGCTGGAGCCACCTAGTGTCTCCACTCAATTTCATTTCTCTCTAGCGAGGTCAGGAATCGGAATACACTAGATGGTTCACAAAAACCCCGGAAGTGCAAGTTCGGGCACCAGCCAATCAGCGAAGAGTCATACATTCTGTGTTGGCAACGATTCCCGAGATCGAGGATTTAAACAAAGAAAACAAAGAGAATGTTTGGTGAATTTTATCAAGGGGAAGACGTTATTGCCCTTCTTCCTACAGGACTGGGGAAAAGTTTAATATACCAGCGACGCATTACATACATAGCAGCATTTGGTTAAATAAAAAAAAAGTACCCGCCTACTGTCGAGCGAACGAATCCTAATGCCGCAAGGTCAGATGGTTTCTATGAAGTGAAACCAGACTAATAATCGTCCACAGTAAAAAAAACTAAAAAAACAACAACAAAGACATCTTTTCTATCTACACGGAGAATTTTCTGAAGCATGGTTTTAACTTTCTATTTCCGTGGAAACGTGCAGGTGAAGTGCCACCTTCAGAAAGTTAAGCGGTGTTACTTTAAGCATTTACTAAGCCTGAATCATTCTTAATGAATTGCTGTGAAATCTTTGTTCGTGCTTTAGTAAGGTGTAGTTATTAATTGGTACCAATTAAATTATAATTATTTTACCTTTTGTTCCATAGAGCCTGATGTGATAGGTATTTGTCATACTATGTTTTACACCAGATGCCCTTCCCTGTTATCTGAGCTGGCATTAGGCAAAAAGAGAATACTGGATTGCAGCTGTAAACATTTTGTAACACATTTGCTCAATACGGCTTCACATTTTAGACAAAAAACGGGTTTGTAATATTCAATACTTTCTATGTGGGTTTCTTGGTTCTGTCCTCTTACCTTTCTTTTGTTTTCTCCTTCCCTCCACCCTATCTTTCCTACCTTCTCTGCTTTAGAGTACCTGAACCCCATCGAGGAGAACCCTTTCGTCTCCCGTCGCAAAAACGGAGAGATCCACGCCTTGGACAACCCGGGCTACCACAGCACCCCCAACAGCCAGCCCGGCAAGGGGGAGGACGAGTACATCAACGAGCCCCTCTACCTCAACACCTTCCACAACCCAGCGGACCTTGGCTTGGAAGTCCTCAGGAGGAACGGCCTACCTTTGCCCTCCCAGCCTCCCTCTTCCATCTCCGCCACCACCTCAGGACCCCATCTTCCGTTGACCATCCAGACCAGCTTGCCGCACTACCCGTTACCCTCATCGCAGCCTTCTCCCGCGGGTTTGGCTTGCCACCACCTCCCGCCCGGGCACCTCCTCCACCACACCCTGAAAGCCGGGCAACTCGGAAACCCAACCAGCCAGATCGGAACCTCAGCCCAAGCTCAGGCGGGGCAGTCGGGTACCCTGTCCACCGCTGCGCCCATGGGCATCGGCACCCTTCCGGCCTACCAGAGCCACGGCGGCACCATGCATCCTGCTAGCTTGCTCAAGCACGGAGGCCACACGACGGGAAAGGGCAGCGGGAAAAAGCTCAAGGTTACGTTTGACAATCCGGAATACTGGCAGCACAGTTTGCCTCAAAAATCCTCAGTCCAGATGGGAGCCGACGGCGCGCAGGGAGGGTCCACCAACGCTAAGCTATTCTATAAGCAAAACGGACACATACGACCCGCGGTGGCTGAAAATCCCGAATATATGTCGGAATTCTCCCTGAAACCGGGAACAGTTCTGCCGCCCCCACCCTACCGGCAAAGGAACACTGTAGTCTAGACTCTGCTACCTTAAAGACTTTTTGCCTAACTGAACATCTCTCCTTTTCTCTCCGGTATCCACTGTCCCATCCAAACAGGGAGCTGAACGTTGCGAGCCGAACGTTTTTAGCTGAACCCGAACCTCCTAATAATGTGCCATCCGCTGTAGACTGTAGCGTCGTTCCGAGGAGAGTCCACAAAAACCGCAAGCACCTTTACCATCTCAAATCCATTTCGGTTGTAGATAGACTCTTAGCTCCTAGAATGGAATGGGACATACTCGGACGTTTTGAAGGATCTGAACTCACTGCCAGCCAATGCGGAGGAGTTTTAACTATTTACAATTACGTCTGCTGGTAATAAAGCAGATAGACTGTTCTGTGATGGGAATATCGAGGTTTGTACATGACTCAACGGAGCATTCACCACAATCATATCCAATCTTTTTGCCTATACTAGTATAAATATGTGTTGTCCATCTCCCATCCGATATGTGACATTATCTTTCTACTGTAACTGTGATACTGTGATGGCCAAAACGACAGCTTTTTCGTTTCCGCGGTTACTTTTTTGAGATTTTTTTTTTTTTTTTACTTTTAGAAATGTCCGAAAATATGCCGGGCAAACTGCTGTGTTGTCGATGGTGGACTGGCTGATTAAGAAGCAGCCTTTCCATGCACTGTTAACTTTCGTATCACTGGTTGCCATGTTGGGAGAAATAGTTGAAGTTAAAAGCTACTAAAAATCAGAAAGTTCAAAGCGAGGAGAAAAACACCAGACAGCACCAGCACAGCACAGTAACTTAGACTCATGTACATGGCTATTTAAGTTAAAGATTTAAGTTAAGATTTTTACATATTAAAACTTGGTGTATTGATAGAGTTGTTTATGATGACGCTTCCAATTGCTGCTAACTAATATTAGCTGGACCTAACAGCACAGAAAGTATTTATTTTCAATAGCTCTCTCAGCCATTGTAAATTTTCTTATTTAAAAACCGTGCCAATATTTCTCCCAACCGGGTCATATTACATAAATAAGTATTAATTAATATTCATCTTTAAGTTAAGATTCTAATATATACAACCACTTTTACATTCTTAAAAATCAGGTACAAGCCAGCGATTTCCGACTGGTAGAACAAGACCCAAACGTGGGTTGCGAAAAGTCAAATTTACGTTAAAAAATTCAGTTTAAATCCTAAATAATGTATTGTTTTAATTAAATATATATAACAGTGTGGAATATACTGAAAGAAAATAATAATACATTTTGTAAAAATTTGCAATAAAAAAAAAAAAGAGAGCCGCTGATTAAGGCTGTACCGTAGATAGTTGTGACGGACAAATAGAATACGCCGGTATATTTTCTATCATTGTTTTTCACATATAGGCCTACTACTGTACGTGTATTTTAATAACTTCATATACACAACACAAAATTACACTTTTCATAGCTAATACCAGTGGTGGATGAAGTACTCAATGTTGTTACTTAAGTAAAAGTACAGATATGGGGCACAAGATTATTCTAATAAAAGTAAAAGTATCACATGAAAAAATCTACTGCTGTAAAAGTATTAAAATACTTGTTTAAAAATGTGCTAAAAGAATCAAAAGTGCAAATCTTTTGAAGAGAATTTCAGAACCTTTACAGGATGAAATGCAGATCATGAGTTTAGCAGATTTTAAGTGGTTCAGTTGATTTCTTGAAATTTCTGGCTGTTTTTGTGTATTTGTGTATTTGTTTTACGCAAAGTTGGGATGTTAACTGAAATTGAATGTGCTCAAAATAAGTCTCAAACCATTTCAGCAAGTTGTTGGGACCAAGTTGTTGTTTTGCAAGTCTCAAGTAAGTCTCAAGTCTTTGACCTCAAGTCCCAAGTCAAAGACAGGCCAAGTTGAGTGTCGAGTCACTGGCCCATAAGTCCAAGTCAAGTCCAAGTCATCTACTTTGAGCTTCAAGTCATTTCAGGTCTTTAAGCCAAAGTATCAAATATAGTTTAGCCTTAGATTTTGGCTATTTAAAAATGTTATGGTATATGAGTATTTATATAAGAGTTGTAGAAATGCAAATTTTTCCTTTTTAAATGCCTTGACAAGAGTGCGAATTATTATGGTCAGAACAGAAAGAGTTAAGATTTAAGAGTGATTAATAACAGCTGTATAATAATAATAATAATAATAATAACTTGTCAACTAGTTTAAGCATCAAGTCTTCTCAAGTCACAGGGCTCAAGTCCAAGTCAAGTCCCAAGTCACTGACCTTCAAGTCAAAGTCAAGTCTTTGTCTATTTTATCAAGTCAAGTGTCAAAATCTAAAAATAGTGACTCAAGTCTGACTCTAAAACATAGTGGAGTAGAAAGTACAGATACATGCCCTCGAATTTAGTGAAGTAAAAGTAAAAAGTATCCACTGTAAAATGTACTTACGTGAAGTACAGATACCTAAAAACTGTATTATGCTTTTACTTTTGTACTTAATTTTCTTCCACCACTGGCTAACCCACTGACGTCCACATTACCGTTTTCTGAAATGCCTATCTTTACGGACTGCGTGTTTTTGATATATTCACACTTCAACCCACATGGAAAGCGTATTAGCATTTGAGCAACACTGCGATTCCCGCGGGACTTACTACTCACTACTACTGAAACTGAAGTATAGGCGAAGTGCCAGTCAATGCTGCTAAAAGCGCCGGTGTACAGCCATTACTCCTCCTGCCAAGCCATACCGAACGCTCACAAGGAAGACATTACGAACCAGTTATTATTTTTTACGTAAGTGATTCTAGCTTGTAGTCTGTTTGCAGTTTCGTGTATTTATTTGAAGTAGTTTTGCTGTGTGGAGTGTTTTTGCCCTCTCCGTCTAGCACTTTTGATCAAGCTGTTTAAAAAGTCAATGGAAAGTACATAGTGTTGACGTCCGGGCCTAGCCTATCCTACCCTGCCCTACCCTACCGCCCGGCTTGGAGTATGCCCTTGTTTTCAACCAATTCCGTTAGCTTCAAACAGTATTGCTAACGCCGCTTTGATGATCTCATAATTATTGGATGAAGGGGTATTTTGTAGTCCCTTTTGGAGCCGTAATGAAACGGAGACAGCATTTAATATGGGTGTAAAATATTTATAGAGAGCTTGTTTATACGCAGTGATGGAATGGGAAAAAAATGGGATTCCGACGGTTAAGTAAATTGCGTTTTCGTTTGCTCTGAATTATGCGGACAACCCTGGGAAAGAGTGCGCTGGAGATTGCAATTCAGATGAGACGCCAGACCCGACTTGTTTCGGAGTGCCCTTCACAAGCGCCGGCTCCCAGAGGAACTTTGAGAAACGCTAAATAGCAGGTCAGAAGAATGTGCACAAGTTAAAAGTGAGACAAGACGTAACAAAGCAAGAGGACGTTTGAGCAATAAATAGAATGGCACACTTTTGTCACAGCCCAGTGGCATAATATTACAGTTTTTTGTTTAGGATATATACATAGATACACTGAAATTATATGAAGTACCAAGTCATTTTTGAGGCTTGTTTTGGCTGTAGTCCGTGTAAGTTCGTCTTTTTTGATTGGTCCAAAAGTCCACTTTATTTTAACATTTTTTGTTAGTAAAATGTAGGGATGCACTGATATCGATACTGGTATTGAATATCGGCTCTGATACTGAAAATTTTGATGGCTTTGGTGTTGTTCCATGATATTGGTTCTGCCTTTAATTGGATGGTAGACTTATTTACCAGCTGATTTTAGCATAAAATATCTCATAAAGTTTAAAAATGTATCAATATGAAGCTGTTCAGTAGATACTTGAAGGATAAATTACGCTTGCATAACACAATTGGATTTGATGTGAACAAGATGCCAGATACTTGAACTCCTCCACTTGAGGCAGGAACTCTTCACCCAGCAGCTCAGCAGTGATGCAGTTGCTGTATTGGACCATTGTGGTGAAGAGGGAGGGAGTACTTTGTCCCCTCACCTATGGTTTTGAGCTCTGGGTAATGACCGAAAGGACAAGATCACGGATACAAGCAGTCAAATTGAGTTTCCTCCGCAGGGTGAGCTAGGGTGAGCTCCTCAGTCACACGGGAGGAGTTTGGTGTAGAGCCGCTGCTCCTTCACATCGAGAGGAGCAGCTGAGGTGGCTCGTACATCTATTCCGGATGCCTCTCTCAGGATGTCTTCCGGGCATGTCCCACCGGAAAGAGGCCCTAGGAAGACCCAGGACACAATGAAGGAACTATGTCTCTCTGCTGGCCTGGGAATGCCTTGGGGTCTCCTTGTAGGAGCTGCAGGAAGTGTCTGGGGTGAAAGAAGTCTGGGAAGTCTGCTTAGACTGTTGCCCCCAGAACCCAGCCGCGGATAAGTGGAAGAAAATGGATGGATTTTATATGTTGTAAGTTAAGTCTGTGTTTTATGGAAATAAGTACCATTTTCCATCCCTACACTGGTTATCATTAGGGATCGGCAGACACTCAAAGTCAAAGTATCGATGTCAGTATCAGAACTGAAAACACTGGATCATTGCATCCCTAGTAAAATGGATTGGGATTGGTTGCTAAATGTCTAAAATTCTGGATTTGGTTCCAAAAATGTTAGCCAGCACTGACTTCCATCAAGTATTATTTTTAGGGATGGAAACTCGGTTATCGACAATATCTGTGATATCAGAGGATTTTGTCAGATATTGGTATTGGTTTGATATAGAAAATTTGCCATTATTTGGCACTGATATTTTCTCTGCATTGCCCCAGTGTGTGCACAGATGTCATGTTTTAAAAGTTTAATATCAGTTTCAGCAAATATCAGTTATCAGCCACAATAGCAAGACAAATATTGAATAATAGTATTGTCTCAAAAACTTCATATCGGACCATCCCTAATTATCTTGCGTTATTTTGTGAATAACAGACTCATTTAAAACTACCTTAACCTCCCCATAGCCATTTTCTCTGAATCAAACCATATCGAAACTTGATTAGCATCGCAAGCTACACGACAAATGTGTAGCTAAAGCAAACT